TCTTTCAAATTCATTTTCTAGCTATTTTGAGGCATTTCTGTTTCTTGGTGTGTGATAATGGACCATTTTGGTCCGTTAGAATATTCACTTGTGATAACGGACGATTTTGCTATACAAGTGAATATTCTAATACGCATTCTCATTTCTGTTCCCAACTGAACAAACAAATCCTACTCCATCTAAACTGATAGAGAAGAAACTAACGGAGAAGTAATCATATTACTTCCCCTCTAAAGCCATATTGGCCAAATAGCAACATTCTTGAGAAGTACCAGCCGATAAATAGCAAAAATTACAGGATTTAGCCATAATAATACTGTCTTCAAAAATTACAATACAAGATTGCATGAGAGAGTCAGAGGAAAGTTTTCTGACATTGAATAAACAGATGGTGATTGCATCATTAATTTAATTTCGTATTGTTGCAATGAGATTAGCCACGTCCAAATAATCTGAAAAAACTTACCACAATCGAATAAATATTGGACGTGAGTTTTTTGTGCCAGTACTTAGTTGATGTACAATTCATCGTACATAGAGACTTTGAACAATGAAATTAGAGCTTTGGATGCTCCAAATATGAGGCTTTTGTAAAGAGATTTTTTTCCCGAAATGGCAAATACTATTATAACCAAATCGATAAAGAGTTGATTAGAGACTTATTTGGTGTGTGTAATTGTGTGTATTTTGTATTTTTGCTTGGATTGTGTCCACGCTTTGTATTGGTTTATTTATTTTAATAGTATTATCATCTTGAGAAAAAAGATTAGAGTTACTGTAAATGGTAAATCTATATATTTTTACTATTAATTTATATTATAATAAATTGTACAATATTAATTATAATAAACTTATTATTTAACTACTATCAATACTTATTTATTTCAAATTAAACCTAAGATATTTTTAGATTAGAAACTCATTAAATTGTACATTAAGCAATTTTAAATTAACCATTGTTGTTAAGTTATCAATTAGTGGTGTAGCTCGTGCGATGCACGAGGCAATAATGATAAATTATAGTATAAATTAAAGTAATGAACGAGTGTTGATTAACATAAAAAGTTATTGAATATGAACATGGATTTTTATTTTTTTATTTCTATGATATATTATATTTTGATATATGACTATATGTTTATTTAACCATTATAAAAGAGTTGTCATTTTATAGTTCTTGTTCAGAATAAGGAACATGAGAATTTAAGATAATTCACAAATTATCAATTAACAATAGTCACAAAAGTACTTGTCTAGTTGTCTCTATTCCCATACACTAAAATAGCTACGACATCGGAGATAAAATTTATACTCACGATCACCCCAGAGTCAAGGTACTAAGAACACGTCGGTCGAGACAAAGAACACCGACCTCAAAACATATATCTTTCCTATGCGTTGACCTCATTCCAGACTACAGAATAACAGACTACATAATAATCAAGCCAACATCGGCCAGAAGCAAGATTCTTTCCTTGTCAATCTCTGTTGAGTATTAATGTGAAAGAGATTACTGTCCTGCCCAAAAGGATAAGCCACTTGTCCAAATTGGGCAAGTTGCTAGGATACGTGTTGTCATGCATGTCGCTAGCCTCTTAGAGGCCGTCACGCGTCTTGGAATATTATATCTAAAAGTCTCCCCTCTTATAAATAACAAGGCTAGGTGCATCCAATTCACATTGAATGCAGGGGGAATTCATATCCAATCCAATTCCTCAGATCTTACATTCAATATACTTAGATTTCTTACTGCTTTTTAGATCTTCATAGCCTTCGATATGCTCTTGTATAAAAATTAAAAAGAGGTTTGAGAACGATTCAAATCCTTAAATAAAATCGTCGTGCAGACAAGTGTTCGTCGACCAATCACTATTGCTTCTACTTTCCTCCTTCTTTCTTTAGTAAATTAATTTAAAACACTTAATCATATCATATACAACACACCATCGCTTCTAGTTGACAAAAACGAACGTGAAGTTCAAATTTACATCTCTTTTTCGGAAAGTAACAAATTAGTATAATACTTACAAAAATTTGCCAGCTTAAAAATTAAATCACCAAATAGGGTTTTAAATTCTGTTTAAGAATTGGTATTTATATTAGTGAAATATCAATAAAAAAATCCCCTATGTAGTTATTATATGATATTTTATTGTATAAGTAGATATTTTGTTTAAAATGACAATGGGCCATTTCAAAATATAGTTAGTGTTAAAAAAGAAAAAAGATATTAAATTACCAGGTAAGCCAGTATTTTTTTTCCACATTTGTGATTTGACCGAGTAGAAAAGATGTAAACTATCTTCTAAAATTGTAACAAACAAGTAAATTATAATGACTATGAAATGAGGTTTTGTGGATTTATGTTTTTCCATAGTAAGCCAGTATTTTTTTCCACATTTGTATGTTTTCTTATCAGAATTCTTAAATCTGTTTACCCTAACATATTTTATTCTATTTACCTAATTAATTAATTAATAATTTTAAAGCTAGACAACAATCAATAGTTGCCATCAATGTCCCTTTCCTATTTGTTTATATCCCCCAAAATACACTATTGACAACATTGCCCCAAATGAATGCCTAAACCCTAGAATTTGTTCCAAACTCTCAAACCCCAACAATAGTTGCCTCTTCCTCACCCTCCCTCTCACTCTCGTGTTTTTTACTTCTTTTCAACCCAGTGTAAACGGGTCTTTAAAAATTCAAGAGAAAATAANCCACCAAAAAAAAAAAAAAATGGAGGTTGAAAAATTGTGCTACCATGTTGTTCTTTTGCAGAGTATGATTTTCGGCTCGGTTGTTGATACATTTATCAGTGCTCAAAAATCTCTACTTGTGGTTCTTCTGCTGGTAAAGTTTTGACCTTTACTCAAATATTTCTTGATTTCTCTTTCATTATTTTCCTGCCATTTTTTTGAGCTGTTCTGTTCAGTTGTGTGTTTAATGATGTTTTTCACTTTTTCTTATTTTTGCAAAAGGGAGTGTAAGTGCAGTTCTTGATTTTTAGTTTGCGTTTTGTTGGAACCTTGTATGCTATATGCTGTCTGTAGTTCTTATTTGAATGCTTGTTTGTCGGGAAAATCTTGGTCCTTATCTCTTATGAAAGTTTCATGCTTGCTTTAATTTTAAGCCTCTAATAAGCACAAGCTTTTCTTTTGTTTCAATGTCTGAGCACTTGGATTTAAAATTCCCCCCCAAAAGAGTTTAGATTTGGAAGCTTTGGTATTGAAATGTATGGCTTTGCAGTATAGTACATCAATTTAGTTGCTATATTAGTGTTAATTTCCAGTTACTTTGTATTAAAGAGCTGAAGAATGCTGTTGTTATTCTAATGAATTCATTTGATATGCATGATGTGTGTAAATTAAAAATTTTAGGTGTTTTTGCAACTTTATCAAATATACAAGATTGGATATTTAGTATTTAAAAGGATTCAAAATTTGAATTTCAATGCTAAATTCAAAGCTTCCGCAGTTTTATTATGGAGTAGTTTGTCATTGAATGCGTTGGTCCTGTTCATTATCCTGCCAAGGCTACGGAAATTAATGTGAATATTTTATCCGAAAAGTCTTTGCAAGCTTTCTAAATATTTACTTCAATTATTTGTGATGCCAAATACCCGATAATCATAACATTAGACACTGAATATGTGGATACGCACTGCAATAGATCCACACCCGTAGGGATGGCAATGGGCCAGGTCGGGCCGGGTAGTGCCATGCCCGGACCTGGCCCGCGACCCTACACGCGTGGCCCGACCTGGCCCGTGCCCCGTTACGGGTCCACCAGGACGGCCCCGAGACCTGGCCCGCATCNGATGAAGTGACGATGTAGTGATGAGACAGAGTGGGGGAGAAAAAAGAAAAGGAAAAAAGAAGAGAAAGTTCTTTAAGTGACTTATTATTTATCCCAATTTTTACTACATATTGACTGGGCCAGGTCGGGCCAGGCCGGGGCGGATCGGGGCGGGCTGACATTTATGCCCCGGACCTGGCCCGTTTATGTAACGGGGCGAACCTGTCCTGGCCCGTTTTGGTAACGGGGCGGGTCCAACTCGCCCCAAAAACTGCAGGCCAGGCCAGGTCGGGTCGGGTCCGGGCTAAATTGACATCCCTACACACCCGTGTGCTTGTTTTTTTTGACCAATTTGGTCATTTACATGCAAGGAGATGCATTTTTGTATATACATAAGCATCTAGGCTTACTATGATTCAGATATGCTTTTACTCTTATATTTATATTTATGTTGTTAGATAACAGCAAATGTTGCGAAATTCATTTGATTGTTCATTAAGTATCTTGCGGTTTAATTTTCCCATTTTGTTAAAGTTGATTCTGATTTGTCCGGTTTATGATTGGTAGAAGCACAAAATGAGGAACAGATTACATTACATTGGCTTGTAAATTTTTATCTGCATCTCTTTGTGAAAATTGTTTTTCTTGAAAGGTCCAACGTACGATTATGTTGCCTTAAATCCTCCGAATTAATGGCACTGAATAAAAATCCGAAGAAGAATACCCTTTTAGTAGATGTCGATTAGTTACCATATCGCATTGTAAATTCTATTACTCGGTTTCTGACAATTTTAACATTTTCCAGAGCGGGTCCCTCCTAGGCCATGTCAGCATTCTCCCTTCTCCGGGTGAGAGGTAAAGTTGAATCTACGTACTCTTAAATACCTTTTTCCTTCACTACAAATGGAAAATAAATAAATAAATAAATATATCTGCAAAATTTACAGATTCCCATTCGGCGAGCTCGAGAAAGCTTCGACACCCGACGAACAACCGGAAGACGGTAGCGACAGTGACAACGATGACGAAGGCGACGATGACGAGGATGATGCTGACGAGGACGATGACGAGGACAATGACGATGACGATGACTATTCCGGAGAAGGGAGTGACGATGACGGGATATCTGACGAGGAGCTCGGTGGGCCCAACCGCCGCCGTGGACGAGGTGGCGATGACGAGGACGATGATGATGACGAGGATGACGATGATGATGGTGATGGCAACGATGACGAGGATGACGATGATGATGACGAGGACGAGGATGACGATGACGAGGATAGCCGGCCGTCGAAGAAGAAGAAGTGAAGGGTTTGGCTAGAGTTGTTTGATGGTTTTCTTAATTTCCATTTGAATTTTAGGTGAGGATATGTGAATTTGGGATTTTTGCATTTTATGGATATTTTTGTTAAATGAATTTTTAGATGGTATGTGTTATTGGTATGGACTATGGAGAAGTAGGTGTGGGGATAGGAGAAATGTGATGTGGCCTCCGTTTGATGAATTGGTAAAGGCTTTTGGGATGGATGGTTATTTGAGCTGCTTCGAATTTAGGTCTTTGTATTTGTTAAATCTTTGTCTTTGCTTTATTGTTTTTTAGTATGGTCCGTGTTTGTTAATTGACAGGGATACTTTCAATTTTTCATACCAAAAAGCCATAAATAATACTCTGTATTTCAAAGGTAATGCAGTAAAGCCTATTACCGCCGTAGATTTGATCGCCTTGTTATTACCGCCGCAAACCGCCACATATAGGAGTGACGACCAGCTGATGCTGCTTGTTTTTTTCACCAACATCATTTCAATTTTTCTTTTCTTTTTTTTCAAAAAAATAAAATAAAATAAAGAAGATTAAGTAAATTGTTGTGCTCTGATAACTGAAACTTGCAAAATTTGATCAATCGAAATGTGAATGGTTGAGGTGAAAGAGCAGTGATAGTGGAGTAAATAAACAAATGAACTTCCCTACTCTATCCTGTCCCCTTTTTATTGTAAAGAAAAAAAAAAAAGAAGAAAATATGAAGCATTTTGCTTTAAAAAAAAAAATTCAACGAAATGTATCAAGGTTGTTTTAACTTTCAACACAAAATAACCTCCAGAAATAATATCGCAAATTTATGTTGGGAGTGTAAACCCAGTCCATGTTTTTGTTATTGTTAATTTTCATCTCAAAAGAGAAAATGAAGCTAAATTATGTTGAGGCAAGCACATCTGTCTATGAAGCTATCAAAGCTAACAGTAGATAGTAAAGTTATACAAAATCAAAATTAACTAAAATTTTTAATAACAAATTCATGTCTAATTTTATTTACACAATACAGTCCATTATTTTCATATTAATTTAATCTATTCCCATCTACCCAAAAATTTAATTTAATCCCATTAACCCAAACAAATGATCCGTACTTCAAATAATCTCCAAATTCCCATCTAACCCAAAAATTTAATTTAATCCCATTAACCCCAAATTCCCATCAACCCAAAAATTTAATTTAATCCCCTTAACCCAAACAATCCAATTTTGCAAACATGGCTGAGATTGAACCTTCAATTAACTAAATATATTAATAAAATATTATTTTAAATAACGATCATAAAATAAAATTTATTATAACTTTGCATTCTAATTATAAAAATTTAATATAGAATAAAAAAAAAATTCTTAAGATTTAAATATTAATAATATGAGATAGTTTTACAATATATTTATAGTGGAGGGCTATTTAATTCCTTCATCCACACGAATTATCTATTGTTTCACATCTTCACATTCAATTTTTATCTGATTCAATCTTTTTTATTAGAATCATCTATTATTTCAAATATCATTTTAGTATTTTTGAAAAACAAAGAAAATTGAAAGAATTAACTATTCATATTGAACTTTAACATCACAACTGTCAAATTGGATCGAATATCGATAGTTTCAAACACGGATTTAGTATTTTTCTTTAAACAAAGAAAATTACAAGGATTGTCTTTTCTTATTGAATGGACTATGATAGTTTTTCTAACTAAATGGCAATTAATTGTAACAGAAGACGAATTCAAAAATCGCGCCAAACAAATTAATCATATATGGAATTTTGCCTTCAGCAGCGTCTTCTTTTAAATTTTGTTTCTCAAAACTATTGTTTGGCAAAGTTATTTACCAATCCCCCGTAAGACTTGGCTAATAGGAATTAATTCACATGTGTTTTTTGTGTCAAATTTGTTGCTTATAATGAGAATTAAATGGTTAAGACATGACCATTTGTTTGGGTTAATGGGATAAATACATCACCTGAGATAAATACATATTTTTTTGGACTTAAATCTCTCAAAAATCTTATCTTATTGCTTTAGCTCTTAGACCCCTCTTAACAATAGATGGATTTGGTTCTTCCCATAGAATCTGCAGCAGACCAGCTCTTTTTTCCTATACACACAAAAAAATAAATGGAACTTAAATCCATAAAAAAAAAAACATGTGTGGTGAAGCTATTCTAATTTGATGAATTTGAGGGCTAAAGCATGTTTCTTTCTTTCTTTAATTTTTTTTCATTCATTTTTAACATAAACTCTGTTGGAATTTGCATACCTTCACGAGTGAGATGATTTGAACCGAACGATCGGATAAAGCTCCACAATTTGAGCCTCTCTTAGCTAAACTGTTAAAACTATCATTTATCTCGGTGGTCAGCTTTGCCCTTTCTTCCATACTCTCCAAGAAAGCTCCTTTTAACACTTCACCTTCTTCTTCAAGAGCTCTCAACCTTTGTTCAATTTTTTCAATTTCGGCTTTGGGCACTAATAAGTGTTTCTTGCATGTTGATGGACCGGCTTCGAGAAGATATCGCTTGTGGGGCATTGT